AGATCGCTTTTCAGAACTGTCCTTCCAACAGTTGTGTGCTAGCCAGCTGCAGTTTTATTAGGGAGCAGAGAAGAGCAAATATATATGTGCAGTCTGATTTTTCTTTTTTTTACATCATTTAGCTTGTCTTCCCTTGAATAAACAACATTATCTCTCCGGGAGTCCATTTAAAAAGCATAATGACCCTCCCTCCCCCTGGAGTCTTCCATAACTCCTCTTCTCCTAGTCTTGCGAAGAGCCAGGGCATAAATCCCAGTGGAAAAAATCCATTTAATCATTTCTCTAACCTTGGGATTCTGTCTCGTTGCTTTGCTTCTGGGAGATAAAATTGTGAATTCAGGACCCATACAGATTCCTGCTCCTTTCAGCAACTCTGTCCCCAAAGAGCACAATATTAAAATGTGTCCAAGCAGGAGATGGCTTGGTTTTATGGAATGTTCACTGTCAAAACACGAGGCAAGGCAGGATTTGTGTGTGAAGCTGGAGTAATTTATAACTCTCTCACCTGCGTTTTTCCTAGCAGATAGCTTGTATTGGGGCTGTTAAAATTGTACTTTAAGCCCTGAGTGGCATTTGAATTCCTGACACAGTGACGTCAGTGGCTCTTATAAGACTCTGAAACTGGATCTCCTGGTTTAATGGCCTCTTCTTTTCTTTCTTTTTTTTGAGGGGGGGGCGTGGCACAGTATTGAGACTGGACCCAGAGGAACCCTACCACTGGGCTACATCCCTAACCCTTTTTATTTTTTATTTTTCTCTTTGGAGACAGGGTCTCACTAAGTGGCCCAGGCTGGCCTCAAACTTGCCGTCCTCCTGCCTCAGCCTTCCTCAGTGCTGGGAATGCAGGCACATGCCAATTCACCCAGCTCCTATTCCATTTTTGAGTGGCTTTTCCGGAGACTTTTGTGGCCCCTTTTCCCTTTACCTCTGTATTTCTCCAGGAGGTGGTAGACTAACAGTTGTGAATTTGAAAGCCTTGGTTCTGGTTAAAGTGCTAGGAGTTGGCTGGGATAAGGTATCTGCTTGGTATGCTTGCCTACCGACTACAGGTGGAGGCTCTTTTGCTACTTGGCTGGTTAGAGGGTGTAGATTTCAAAGCTCATCTCTATATCTATATGTACTGTCTTTCTGATGAGGGCTTCGAGGAGTCATTATACCTCATCCTTCTAGGAGGTTCTGGGTCCCAAGCATCGACTCATCCAGGGGGAAATGCATGTAACGTGCCAAGTACAGTTCCCAGCATCCCTGGCAACACTGTTGGTGGTGACTGAATGCCAGGCAAGACCGAATCTGTTTCTCTGTGGCTAGGTATCCTGATCTGAAAAGCATTCTTGGGTGTGAGTGGCTTGTCATGATTCCACATTAGGGTTTTGCAGACTAAACTGGGGCCACACAGGTAGCCTAGGTGAGCAAGAAGGCTTGTGTGAGAGTTGTGTCAAATGGAAGAGCACATCTGTGTCTCAAGTGGCAGTTACTTAGTGCACACAGCTGGGTAACTGTCATATGTAGAAGATTTGGGAACCTATTTCACATAGTGAAAAAATTCTGTGTGGGCTTCAAAAAATAGTCTGTGGAGTAAAATCAGCAATAAAGAAGCCTAGAGATTGGGAAATGGAGTTGCGAAAAGCTTGCAGGGACCTTTGATACAGCAGAAGAAGGGAATGGAGTTTGCCTGGGGTGCTTCTGGCTGTGGTGATGGCCAGATAGCAGACAGAAGACGCCAGCCCTGGCCCCTCCAGGTCCCTCCCACTCCTGCTCCCCTCCCCTGTGCGACCCTCCTGCACAGGCAGGTAGAATGAAGTGGCCTGGGGCACCTCTAGGTTTCCTGTCATTTTTGCATTTTCCACTCCCAGGTGTGGACCTGTAAATTTGGGCAGTGCTACTTAGGCAGTCAGAGAGCTCATTACTGGGTGTCACAGCGGTGAAGGTGTTTGTAAGAGCCATGAACCTCTAAAAGCATGGGAGTAGCAGCATCCCCATGTTTTCTTGTTTGCGCAGAGCATCCCATGGAGCTAGTTTTCCTTAGAATGCATCTCGGACTCATTGTCTTGGATTTGGGAGATAAGCCAGGAGGGAACGAAGTGATTTTTGTATCCAGAGAGACTTCTAGTGTTGCAGAGATCTGAGGAGAAGGAGACCTGGTGGTTTTCCAGGTATAGGCACAGCTTAGGTTTCTGGCACACTGACTGCTCTGGGGGGTATTGCGGCCACTCCTGCACAACGTGGGCTTCCCTGTGTCACTGCCCCTCCATCACAGCATGCAGTTCCCCTTCCTCTGTTCTGTGGATTACACCGCTGCTCTCCCCTCCTCTGGCTCAGTTGCAGGGTTTCTGGTAACTCAGGGCGAAACTCCCAGCACTCCGGATACCACTGTGGTGGGACCTGTGTGCACCACAGGCTCCTCTGGAATAATATCACGGTGTTGAAAGGCCACAGGGATGGACAGGTACAATTGCAAAGCATGGACTTCTGAGCTTGGATTTATGGGCATCTGTTGCTAACTTCACTTCTCCCTCCCACCAGACCTACTCCTCTCTTGTCGGTCCTCTTTCTTCTTCATAGGATTATAAGAAATTTTAGATACACTAAATTCCTAACCCAAAAGAGCAGACGCAATAAAAGACTTGTGGGATTTTCTCATAATTGCAAGAGGAAATTTGAGACCTTTTCCATCTGTGATGCGAGCTTTTCCCAATAAAGCATTGTATGGTTGCTAGTCTGGTGAAACTGAGGCATAGGAGTTGTGACCGGTCAAAGAATTTAGTAGGAAGGGAGCATGCTCAAAATCCACTTCCGGTGGTGGTGTACGACAGGAGCTTGTCCTTCCTCTCCTGCACCTGTGAATTCAGTTAGGAAGCATCTACAGCATCCATACTGTGTCTCTGGAAATGGAGGGACACAGCACAGAATGAGCTTGGCACCGCTGCAGGGTTGACCTGATGCTTCTCGCAGGCCCAGTTCCCGATCATAAATAAATACTAAGCCACCACAGGGTGGGGCTGAGAGCAGAGAGAGTATGTGCAAATGTTGAATATTCAACATGTGGCTCAGAGAGCCACCACTGTCATTGTGAAAGGCACAAAATACAGACTAAAGGACCCTGTATTTTGAAATTAAACAATTTTGCCTTTTTTATTTTTGTTGTTTGGGAGGGAGGTATTGTAGATCGAACCCAGGGTGTCGTACATGCCAACCAAGCACTCTACCACCGAATACATCTCCAGCTTTTTTGAAATTTTATTTTGAGACAGGGGTTGAGTTGTCCAGGCTGGTCTTGGACTCGTGATCCTCTTCCTGCCTCAGCCTCCTAAGTAGCTGGGATTACAAATGTGCGCCATCATGCCTAGTGACAATTTTGCCTTATGAATTCTAACATTGACTCGGTGATATTGGTTGGGATACTTATTTTTTCAACCTTGATTTCCTCCTTTCTAAAATGGGTAGGATACCTACCTTGCTGGTATGAAAAGAGGATTGGAGAGATACGTAAAGATACATGCTAGCTGTCTGACGCATTGCCGTGAGTCCTCCTCAAAATACTTCCCTTCACTTTGTATGCACTTGTCCCACCATCCCTACCACTTCCTGAAGGAGTTTGGGAAGTCCTTTTCTGTGAGCGTCTTTACATGGCTGCCTCAGTGTCCTGAGTCAAAGCCAAATGTTTACCTTTCATGGTCATTTTGACTGAGGAGCAGCCAGCAGTCGCATGATGCCAGACCTGGTGGATAAAGTGGAGGCAAAGACATTGTAATGTTTTACAAGCCTGCCTTTCCACGGGATGCCACGCAACAGCAGCAGCAGCATTCACTGGATTTTTTATCACACCTTGTAAAACTCACTGAAGAGGACTCCTAGAACTGGCCCAGAAAGTAGCAAGAATAAGATAAGCGAGATAAATGGCAATGTGTCCTATACTGTAATAAACTTAAAAATTTAAGCCTTCACCTACATTGCTCTCACCCCCTTGCATCCCTGCCACCCCTCAAACAATTGGTAAGATACAAGAGGGTGGGACCCACGCACAAACCAGGGTGGCCACTGTGAGGAGGCGAGTCTTCAGCTGAGATTGAGAACATAAGGAGGCAGAGACAGTGTCTGGGACTGGAGACAGCCGGTGCAAAGCCTGGATGAACTGGGACGAACTCCATGTGACAGGGCCCAGCGTACATTGGAAAGGGGGCTGTAAGACAGGACTGGGGACAGAGGGCTTTGAGGGCAGTGTAGGAGTTTGGGCAGTAAGTACCTGAGTCATTCTGGCTGCCGTGGGAGAATGGATCATTAGGGTGCAGAAGCAGCACACAGAGACCTGCTGGCCTTTTTGCGGTGACCCAGGCAGAGCCCCCTGAACTGCAGGGTGACTGTAGATGCAAAGAGCTGAGCACATTCAGACATATTTTGCAAGATGAGATCCTAGGCCCAGGTGCTGGATTAAGTGTGACCGTGACACTGGGACCTGGGAGCTGGTAAGAAGGAAAGGGGAACAGAGAGCCCTTGCTAGGAGATCCATGTGAGCAGCTAGGAGATGATCCCAGTGAATCCGAAGGTTGGGAAATGAAGGCCTCTATTTTAGGAATTCAGGGATATTAGATTTAGAGCTAAAAATGGACCCGGCTGGTTTCTGCGGCTTCCGGGAGTGGTGTCCGGAGTCCCCTCTCTGTGTGCAGTGAGCCTGGGGAGCGGCCGCCGGCCAGCCTGCCCCATACGCCTGCAGCTTTGCCCCTAAACTGCCTGTTCCTGCTCTGGCCCTGGGCCTGGAAGGAGCTGATGATGTGGAAAGGTCCCGAGGCTGAAAGCAGACCTAGGAGGGCGAGGCTGGTGTCGTGGCCCCTGCTCGTGGGAGCCCCACATGCAGGGCCGGCCCGGGACAGCAGGACGGGGTTGCTGTCACCTCCCAGGCAGACGCTGCGCCCGAGTGGACGCTGCACACAGGTGGACTCCTGTGCCACGGCTGGAGCTCGCCGTGGCGGGGGTTTGTGCTCAGGCTTTGTTTGTCTCAGCAGCTGGGACGACAGCAGCTCCGTCAGCAGCGGCATCAGCGACACCATAGACAACCTCAGCACAGATGACATCAATACCAGCTCCTCCATCAGCTCCTACGCCAACACGCCGGCCTCCTCCCGGAAGAACTTGGATGTGCAGGTATGGAATGTGGGCCCCGGGGCCTTGGGCTGAGAGGACCATCTGGGGAGAGCAGAATCCAAGCTGAGAAGGGGAACCCCAGCCTGGGGAGGCTGAGGCAGGAGGATCACCGAGAGTCTGAGGCCAGCCTAGACTACATTGTGAGTTGAAGGCCAGCCCGAACAGCATAGCAAGACTCTTGCCTGAAAAAACTAACAAACAAAAATGCCACCTGGGCCAGGGATTTAGCTCAGTGGTCCCGCCGCCTGCCTTGCAAGCGCAAGGTCCCGAGTTCGATCCCTGGTACCAAAAGAAAAAGGAAAGAAAAGGATGTCGGGCTCTGTTGGCAGACTTTAGCCTAGAGTGTGTCCTCTCTTCGTTCCTGTGAGCTGCTGCTGTCCCTGGACACTCATCCTGTCTCTCAGTGATGGGTGGGAACAAAGGTTGGGACCAGGAGACCAGTGTGTCCTGGCCTGAGGCAGGGGACAGTCCGTCCTTCGGTGGCCCCGCCATTGTGTTCTGTGTAACCTGCAGGATTACGTTACTTGTAAACATGATTCCAGATCAAAAATGTTTAAACCGCATTATTTCACATGAAATGCGTTTCTGGTTTTTCTTTACAAATCAAGAGCTATTGCTCCAGGTGGCATCAGTCAAAAGACGTACAAGTGTCTGTCTCCTTCATGTGGGTCCCTCTCCCCAGTGTGCCTCAGATCTGCCAGCCAGCTGCACAACTTTAAAATACCCACCTGCCCTGGGGAAGAGGCATCTTTCAGCTCCCCCTAAACTCTCAGGTTTTATGTTTCAAACACAGGGCATTTGGTGTGGGCACCAGCGCTCACCCGCCCGCTCAGCCTTCCCGGGTGCTCAGCAGTGGTCAGTTCCAGCAGCCCATTTCCCTACTGGGAAAGCAAGTGCTGCTCTGAGAGGTGGGGGAGTTGTCCTCACCCAGAACGGTCAGCAAGGTGGTGCTGGCGGAGACAGACCTTTTGTACCACTGGGGAAGCCTGTGTTGGTGAGGTATGGACCCCGGGGGACATCTGCATGGACCTTCTCCACCAGGTCCCCAGGGGAGGGCAGAGTACACGGCCCCTCCCGTTCACACCCCCTCTTCTGGCTGCTCTGACGCTTGGGCTTGGGGTCTCCCGGGCCTTTCCTCTTGGGAGCAGAGCTGAGGGGAGGGCATGTGCTTCTGTCCTGTAGACAGTGGACCCAGCTGCTGGGGATGGCGTCCTGAACCTCTTCTGCAGTGACATTTGCAAGAGGCAAGCGCAGGTCGAGGAGGCAGGGCATCTTGACGTTACCTCCTATGTTTTCACTTGAGCCAGAATTTTTAACTATTCTAGTGGAGCAAGAATGGTTTGTGGTGGTTGTATTAAAAAAAAAACAAAAACTACCCAATAAAAAGAAAAGGACACAAAGTATGTTTATTTTGTAAAATTTACACAGGCTCCCCTTAGCATTGCTCGATTCCTTATAAGAATATTCCATGTCATTAAGCAAGTGTATTTAACAAGACCAAACTCCAAGCCACACTGCCTGGGAGCAGTCCCTGTTAATCAGCGATTAGATACAAATTAGAGACACCCAGCCACCCATGTGAGCCGTACGTCAAATGTCCTGTCCACCAATTTTCCTTCTGGCTCTTTTGTTTTCTCCTGAGACTCATCCCATATTGAAGATGACAAGGAGCACCCAGCACCCAGGCTGCCCTTAGATAGGGGTGCAACACAGGAGAGGTCAGGGGGGACTGTCCTGTCTGCACCCCCTCCCGCAGAGCTAGCTGGAGTGAGTCCCCCTTGGTACCGAGTAAACACCCGCGCTTCCCAAGGATTACCTGTCACCGCCCAGTTGAATGTGGGTAAGGCCAAGGCCCCCATGCCCCTTTTCAGCCCTTTCAGTCCCATCAGAAGAGGTTCGGGAAAGCTGGGCAGAGGGCTGTAGATCAAGAAGTGAGAGGTTTGCTTTCCCTAGGGTAGTTCTTTCCTGTCAGTCTAGCTGTGCCTAAAATATTAAAATAGCAGAGCGTGGTGGTGCTTGTTTGCAATCCCTGTGGTCTAGACACTGAGGCAGGAGGGTTGCCGTGAGTTCGAGGCCAGCCTGGGCGACGTAGTGGGACCCTTTCTCGAAAAAAACAAAAAATTAAAACTGAAATCGCAGGTCTTGGATAGCAGAAGCACACCGCAGTTAGGGAGTTCTCTGCCGTTGGTGTCCTGAAGTGGATTTTTAGCGCGGGTCTCTTTGTTCCCCAGAAGGGAGCATCTCACAACATCCGAACCAGTGTAATTCTCAGCTTCCTGCCTTCTCCCCTCCAGCCCTGAGGAAGGTTAAGGGCCATGACTCCTCTCCCAGCCTCCTCCACTCCACCTCCAGAGGGTGTGCAGTGCACCCTGCCCAGGGCCACCCCTCTGCAGCTCATTCAGTTCTGTCACCTGCTGGCTCCCCCGGGGTGGCCTGGGACCAGGTGAGGAAGCCAGCCGAGGCCAGGCTGCTGTCTGGGCTCACATGTGGGGAACTCGGACATTATTGTCTGGCAAGACTGGTGCAGGGATTGAAGGAGCAGGAAGAGGCCCTCAGGACGGAGGGTCCCTTTGTCTGGGACGTCAAGGACCACTGGGGTGGCTCCAGAGGGTTTGCATGGCCAGCTGACCCAGTCCCCGAGGGCTGAGGCCCCCGAGCTGAGGACAGACCTCCTCCAGGGCAGCTGGTGAGTCCAGGGACAGCCAGACTGGTGTCTCGGGAGTCACTAAGTCAGGTGTGACATCCTCGCTTAAGCTAATCCGTGTGTCCCTAAAATAGCGGAAGTAGACTGAGCTGGGTGAGCTTGAGAGCAGCTTGGAGACTCTGTATCTGAATGTGTGTCTTCCAGTGCCTGAGACTTGAGGTTGTTCAGCAGTTCCTCACACCCCGTCTCCATCCATCCCTTTCTGCTCTCTTTCCCCTCCCCCCTCCCTCCCT